TTTACCTGGACCATCTCTAACACCTCTCTCCCCTTCCTGGACCTCTCTGTCTCCATATCGGACAACCACCTCGAAACCGATATTCATTTCAAGCCCACCGACTCCCACAGCTACCTAGAATACTCCTCCTCCCACCCACCTTCCTGCAAAAATGCTATCCCCTATTCCCAATTCCTTCGCCTCCGCCGCATCTGCTCCCAGGATGAGGCATTCCACTCCCGTACATCTCAGTTGTCCTCGTTTTTCAAGGACCGTAACTTCCCCTCCTCGGTGGTCGAGAACGCCCTCAACCGTGTCTCCCACATCTCCCGCACCTCATCCCTCACACCCCGTCCACGCAATAAAAACCAAAAAAGAATCCCCCTCGTCCTCACGTACCACCCCACCAACCTCCGGATCCAACGCATCATCCTCCGACACTTCCGCCATCTGCAATCCGACCCCACCACCAAAGACATCTTTCCCTCCCCACCCTTATCTGCTTTCCGGAGGGACAACTCTCTCCGTGACTCCCTTGTCCGCTCCACACTCCCCTCCAGCTCCACCACACCCGGCACTTTTCCCTGCAACCGCAGGAAGTGCTACACCTGCCCCCATACCTCCTCCCTCACCCCCATCCCAGGCCCCAAGAAGACTTTCCACATCAAGCAGATGTTCACCTGCACATCTGCCAATGTGGTATACTGCATCCGCTGTACCCGGTGTGGCTTCCTCTACATCGGGGAAACCAAGCGGAGGCTCGGGGACCGCTTTGCAGAACACCTACGCTCGGTTCGCAATAAACAACTGCACCTCCCAGTCGCGAACCATTTCAACTCCCCCTCCCATTCCTCAGACGACATGTCCATCCTGGGCCTCCTGCAGTGCCACAACGATGCCACCCGAAGGTTGCAGGAACAGCAACTCATATTCCGCTTGGGAACCCTGCAGCCCAATGGTATCAATGTGGATTTCACAAGTTTCAAAATCTCCCCTCCCCCTACCGCATCCCAAAACCAGTCCAGCTCGTCCCTGCCTCCCTAACCTGTTCTTCCTCCCACCTATCCCCTCCTCCCACCTCAAGCCGCACCTCCATCTCCTACCGACCAACCTCATCCCGCCCCCTTGACCTGTCCGTCCTCCCTGGACTGACCTATCCCCTTCCTAACTCCCTACCTACACTCACCTTTACTGGCTCCATCCCCGCCTCTTCGACCTGTTTGTTTCCTCTCCACCTATCCTCTCCTCTATCCCTCTTCTATCCGCCTCCCACTCTCTCCCTATTTATTTCAAAACCCCCTTCCCCTCCCCCTTTTCTGATGAAGGGTCTAGGCCCGAAACGTCAGCCTCTCTGCTCCTATGATGCTGCTTGGCCTGCTGTGTTCATCCAGCCCTGCACCTTGTTGTCTCTTAAGCACTTGTATGCTTGGTTTGTGATTTCAACTCTAATTTCCCTAATTATATTTCTCGTTCCAATCCTGCCACTCATCTTTAATATGATTTCTCACTTGCAGTAATCTTTTCTGAAGAGTCTGAATATTTTCTGAAGGAAGCCCTCTGTAAAAATGTTTAACACAGAAAAAGTATTAATTGATTTTTTAATTTCAGAAACTTGCTACCATGTTGATCATATCAAACCTGGAACTAAGTTCGTAAATAAGTAATAGATGAAGATGGCTGTTAATTGCTTATCGTGACTCACTGGTGAGAAATAGATTTAGTTCTCTTTTAAAATAATGCTTCCCAAACACTTTCTCACTGTGACCCTGTTTTGAGGCTTGAAAGCCTTTGTGAGCAGGGTCAAGGGCAGGAAAAGACATTTGAAAATTGGATGGTGGGATTGGCTATTGCTGCCTTGGACCTTGTGACCTCATTTAGAGTCCTGACTCCATTTTTGGGAAGCGCTATCTTAAAACAAGCGAGAAAAGTTTGAATTCTATTCTCTTGTCCTCCTACTCCCCCAACCACTCCTCCACACCCAGAGCACATTAAAAATATATGAACTATTGAACAACGTTTCTTGTCGTTCAATTAAACAAAAGGTCATTCACAAAATCCCAGATAAGGAAATTTAAAGGCAAAATTGTACAAGTTAATTGAGTATTTAAGGAGAATTATACCCAAAGTTAACAAATATAGCTGTGTTGTAAAAACAATCAGGATGGACAATGAAGTACTCAATGTGGGTGAAACAAAGAAACAGCACTATATGAATGGCTCGACTACCATTACAAGAATACTCTAGACAAGGGGTGTGCTGTTAATAGATGTCATTAAAATATTCCCCAAGAGAAATAGACTATTTTGAGTCAGAATTACAGCTGATACAAAAATATCAACATCTAACTTCATCGAAATAAAACTTCTTTGTTAAAGAAAAGAGCAATACTGCAAAACTTAACCATTAACATCCATATAAATGTGCAAAAGGTCTAAGGGTAACTTATTTCCAAGTTCTCTTCCAACAGACTCTACCAGTTTGGCAGACTCTACCAGTTTGGCAAATAATCGCCACAGTTGAAGACTGCAACAAGAATCTGAAAAATAACAGTTCCAGAATATGAAGAGCACAGCATTCTGAAGCTTGAAGCTTGAGGCTTGCTGCGAGTTTGCTGACTGCAGTTTTCACAGGCAAATGATGTCACCAATCTGAGTCTCCTGAATGCTGCAAGGAATATAGTTAAATTATTAGAAATAAAGATTACAAAGTAAATCGAGTCCAAAATCTCAATTCTGCTGTATTACTGTGGATATCCTGAAAAAGTACTAGTGTCTCCACTAAAACCTGTTATTTGAAGGCTAATTTTTCATTGTGGTATTGGTGTTAGCTGATGTTTATCATCTATCATGTAGAAAAGAGTAAGATTGGACATTTTTTGAATGCTGGTACAATATCTCTTAATTTCTCGAGGGAACCGTACCTCATCCGCTTGTTGGTTGAGTACATATGCCCAGACTGTACCGTGCAAACATTATATTAATTCCAGTTACGTAGCTACGCAGAATTGATCCAGCTACTCCCCACTAATTGTGTGCAAGATATTTTCTATGAGCAAAGGTAAACCTGTCAAATTTTTGTGCAAACCTCTATTAGTCTACAGCAGACTCAGACAAAAGACAAGGGCACTCTAGTGGTGAGAATTTTTGGGAACTTTAGGTTTACCGTCACCTGTGGCTTACAGTGCTCCACTTGTCATCTGTCAAGTTTTCAGTTACTCATGTATTCCAAAATATGGTTGTAATTAGGTAATAACATGAATCACATTGCAAGCTCATGTGATAATCAACCAACCTGTGCTCGAAACAATGTGTAATGATTGAGTGATTCTGTGTTTGTACTGTACTTGCTGAATAATTCCTGATCTGTTGGGCATTAAATTTAAAACCAATTTAAGTTATCAGTCAAGCCACAATTTAGCTCACTTGCACTTCCTACAATCTGTGTATATATGTTTATAGGGCCCTGTGTTCTGCAAACAAAGGAACATGTCCAAGTTTTGCTTTTTTTTTGTACTACAGAAACCTTCCATAGTGCATTATCCATGTCAGCCCCTGGAACGAATTAGTTGACTTGCCAACCAGTCAGTACCATTTTCGTGTGCCTTATAAATTGTTGGTCCCTTTTGCAGTTTGATCTTCTTGCATCTGTCCTGATGACTGCTAGATGAACATCTTTGACAGCATGGTTTTTTATTTGCGAAAAAAGTTGAGAGTTAACACCTGTCTAATGAGGGAATACTGAAGTTTAAGAAACAGATGGAGAAATTTCCAATAGTGCTACTATCTGTTTTGAGTATACTGAACTTCAAGCAGAATTTCCTAGACATTAGTGCACAGTTCTGCTGCTCAGCATTCCCTCTAATTTTCTTTCCAGTCGCCTGGGACTCCAAGGTCTGTGCACAGCAGCGATTTTCAGAAAAGAAGTCCATTCTGTGATTGGCACCTTTGGAGCCCATAGCTTAGACGGGACGTTGCAGCTGATCCTAATTTTATTAGTTGAAGTTTTGATCTTGCCAGCTACATCTATAAATCATTCAACTTTTTGAACTTTTTTTATTAGATACATTCTTTCTTATTTTTGTGTTGAATTTGTTTTGTTTTTGAGATATGAGATCCTGTCTGGCTTTGAACAGAGGCTGAAAATAATTCAAAATAATTGTCACTGTGACTTCCAGCAGCACTTGATCTTTATATCTTTGCATCTTTTGTCTTGAAGCTGGAGGTCAATGACCGGATAATTGGGATTTAGGCACTGCAGCAAAAAGTTGCTGATCTTAAAGTTCTATTCTATCATGTAAAAATAGATGCACTTTGTTGAGAATACAAAGACATGGTAGGCTGTACCTTAAATCTGGTACTAAAAAAAGTGTCTGCTACTCAGCTGCATTGAGGTTATCAACAAAATAAGTCAAAGTTCTAGTTCAATGATGGCTGTGAATGCACATGAATACTCAAAAAAAAAAAAAAAAAATGTTGGCTATTAACCTTTTAAAATTCACAAAAAAAAATAGGAAACATGGCAAGTATGTGGGAACCTCCACCTGACCCACCTACGTTCTGCTATATGATATTTTCCATGAGTATGCATTGACACTTGATGGTCAAAAATGGAAGTATCTATGGAATTTGTTGTGGGTTTCTGCCTATGTGAATTTAATCAGCTTAGGATACCAAGGGACAGCACGAAGCACTTCTAAACTGTACATAATATATTTACTTCCAATATTTTTAAATACAAAGGTCTGAAGAATAATGAGCATCAATTTTGACCTCTTGAATTTGTTTACAGGAAGCAAGGCCACATGTGGCTTGAAGGTGATATTTATAGGTCCTTGAAAAAACGGCAGAGTAACGATAAAGAATGCACTGGATTATCCCGGATCATTTCTGGCATTGACAGTCTTTCACTTGGTGGGAACATGAAAATGAACTCCATAGATAAAACAATAGAGGTAAGGCTGTTCCTTTCATGACCACAATCATGACAAATTCCTACTGTCTCCTCATCAGCGACCATGCAATGAAACTGACCCTCTAGTTTTTTTTTTTGAAAAAAGCCCTGTAACTTGGCAAATGGCAGACGGCAGACAAAATTTCTGCTAAGAACTTGCAGTTGTTGTTTAACTCAGTACTGCAGCTGCAGCATTCCTTTTTGTGTTATTCTTGAGATGTGCGAGTTCTAGCAAGGCCAGTAAGTTGTCACGGTGATTACATCAGTTCTTTTTAAAAAAGGGTTACTGGTTTGCTAGGCATTTAAGGTTAGAGATCAATGCCTTCTGCTGTGGCAAATTTGCTGGAGAGCTTCTATTAAGGCGTGTAACAGGTGGGAACTCCACCAACATCCCAGCTCCTCCCTGTAAGGGAAGGTCAGTGACTCCTTTTACTCACCCCACCATTTAAGGCCCCTTTAAGTGGGCACTCAGTGTCTTGCCACAGTGGCACTTCTGTAGGCCTTTCTTAAAAGAGGTGATATAGAGCTATTGCTATCTCTGCACCTGGCAGATGAAACCTCCTAGATGTTGCCTCTGATAAATACCATTTAAATAAGAATGACTTATGATATGTATGTAGGTCAGACAAGCTAGAAGTGATAACTTACCTGTGTATCAAAATCTATGACTTTTTATACTCCTAATATCTTAAGATGTGCAGTCATTGCAACATATATTACACTGTAACCTCTCCAGGCCTGAATGCTCAGGCCCAAGGCACATCTTATTAAACCTGGATCTAAATTCATAAACAGGCATTCTCTGGATTTTTAACATTGTTTTATTTATTCACTGGGTGACGGCATCTCTGGCTAGGCCAGCATTTATTGCCCATTCCTAATGCTCAGAGGGCAGTTAAGAGTTAACCACGTTGCTGTGGGTCTGGAGACATGTGGGCCAGAAAAGGGAAGGACGCTGGTTTCCTTCCCAATAGGATTATGAAATAATGTAGTTGGGCTTTTAACAAGTGTGTTGATCAGATAAAAATGTCTACCTCAGACATAAAACAGTGACAATTAGAAAGCACTAAACAAGATACACACACACATGCTATGTGTATTCAAAAGCACAATTCTAAAACAACAAAGGACAGAAAAGGGTAGATGATGGAGCTTCGCAGTGCCAGTTTCTGCCAGAAAATGCAGAACAAGGTCATGTTTAAACACTGAACCTAGAATTAGCACAGCCAACAGGGCAGGCTGGGTAAAGAATGATTAACATTCAATGTTAAAAGCGGAGTATGTCCCTGTTTCTAGAAGTTTTCCGAAGTACTACCAGTTTTAAAAGCTTTGGATTTTAATTTTAATTTGTTCAGCTGACTCCTCTTCCTCTGTCATCCATCTTGTCTCTCTCTCCTATCTTACAAATTGTTGCAGTTCTATGAGTGATGAGTCTGAGTTGTGGGCCATGTTCAAACAAAAATCAGACAAATGGTATTTCAGAGTTTCAATTGCTCTTCATTCGTCTACATTAAATTTTTGTCACTTTTTTATGTCAGCAGCAAATTTCTGTATTATTCACCCATTCCTAAGTCCAGAAAATTAGTGGCTGATGGATTGATTGAAGTTATAAAGGGAATCTTTTAAGAATACTGGGAATTGACAAATGGTGTGGCACTGTACCTGGAACCTTAGCTTTACACCATCTTTAAAAATGACTTAAATGAAGGAATAGGAGTTCTTCGTCCAAATTTGTAGATTACACAAAATTGGGAGGTAAGTGAGTTACATAACTGAAGCCTTAGGTTACCCACGGATCCAGTTGAGTGGGTAGAGTTGACTGTTGGCTCGAGAAAGGAAAATTGGAGCGTTTTTGTGGACTGAAGTTGGGTGCTGTGGAGGAGCAAGGAAAACTTGATCTGTATACATGTTACTAGAATGTAGTGCACCATTACAACAAAAGCTAATATAAAAATGGCCAATCGCCAGCTTGAATACTGCATTTAATTGCAGGCACCAAATTTCAGGAAATACATTTCCATTTTAAAAGTAATACAGTACAGGATCATCAGTATAATTAATACCAGTGCTTCAGTTGTTGTATTGAAGGGGCAGATTGAATATATTGGTTTACATGTATTCAAGGTTTTCCAAATATTGAAAGAATTCAATAAGGTAGAATGCAGAAGTTAATTTCTCAGTTGTGTTCCAGGAGAACAAAATCTTGAAATTAAAACCAGATTATTTCAGAATAAAATCAGGATCCAATTTTTCAAAAGGAAATGGAAAACTGAATCAGCCCCTTTCCCACAAAAGCTGTGGATGTAGTACACTTTTTTAAATTTTCAAAACTAGAATATAGGGAATGTGAATTGTGTTTAGGATACCCATTAGCTATAATGTAATAGAATAACAGACAATCTCAAGTAATTGAATGGTATACGCTAGTTCCTGTGTTTGTAAGTGTGTTGTGCACCATTCGATGCATCTTTCATTCCAGGAAACTTTCCCTTTCCCTTTCCCTTCAGTTCTCTAACTATCTCAATGCATGTGTTTATAGCCTTCTTAATTCTGTATGCCTCTTTTTGTTATTTTTATCACAGTAGATCTAATATAATGATGTACATGTGTGAATACATCTTTATTTCCCCCAGTATTTCGTTACTTAAGAACAGTAAACTGGCATCGCATGCATAGTTGTTGAATGCTCTTTTTCTGAGCAGTTTGAAGGGAACGTAATTTGCACAAAGAAAATTTCAGTGATGTTTATTGGTGTCTATTTCATTTATGGAATAAAGCTGAGTTTTTCAAAGTATAAGAATGCAGCATTTGATTTGTGTGTCTTGGCATATTTTTTGAAAATTCAAAAGCAAATTTTGTGCATTTACATATCTTTGAAATTCACCTGCAACATTTGATTAGCATTGCTTTTGTGTAATATGAATGACATTGGTTATTAGTTAGTTGTGCAGGATTCAGCAATGAAAAGTATGCACATTAGTCTTCATGATAAACTTATAGAAATGTTGCATGTATTCATTATTAATACAAGTCATATAGATTTGGTTATTAGCAAGGGAGTGTTGTGATGAAGTAAGTTTGGCCATATAACTTATTATTAGGAAATTTGATCTTTGTTGAAATACTTTAACTCAGGACTCAAACATTAACTAGCATTGGCAAGTTATTTTTGGACTGCTGACACTTCACCATTGGTTCTGAATGTTTTAAAGAGGTTGCTATGGTTTCAGTTTGTTCTTGCTGGTTGTGAGAGTGTGAACAGCTGCTTTATTATAATACACACACGTGGCCAATAGCAGTGTAATTTTGATCAAATAGATCAAATTACATCTTTTTTGCTGTTCCTTACCTCAATCATAAACCTAATTAGATTTAGTCAAAAATGTATTTAAATATTTTGCAGTAGTAGGTATTGCCAAGTTTGTGTGCTGCTTGGATTACTTTTGTGTACAAGTTAATTGCACATTTCAATTTCAGCACCTAATTTTTTTTGAAGCTATTCACTTTTGCCCTCAACACATTTTTCAGAAGTTTCTGAGCAGCAGCACATAGATAAGGAAAAGGAGGGGTGGAGGATAGAAACCTGTAAAACTTCAGAAGTGTAGCATTGGGATTTCTTTTTAAGAGGCGGGTAATGATGGCATCTTTAAAGGTCAGATGAACCAGTACCTGATACATTATCAGCTAAGATGGGAGTAAGTAAGGAAAGTTGGATTGTCAACAGGTTTAGTGGGAATAAGGTCAAGTTGGATCTTGTTGGCAGAATGAGCTTGGAGACCAAATGAAGGGAGTTGAGAGAGAAGGGAAAAAAAAAAAATGCAGTTTCAGAATCGGGCCGTTGGGTACCTTTGTGGGGAATTTCTATTTCAAGGACTAGAAGGAAGGAGGAAATCAGCACAGACAGCTATGCAGATAGTCTCAATTCAGTAAGAAAGAAAAGTCCATTGGTTCCTTGAATTTGTAATTAGAGCTGAGAGTAGAAGGAAGAACCAGGCCAAGGATGTTTGTAGTAAAGAAGACATGCTAGACATTATCATTACATTCCAAAAAATCCAAGAATAATGAGCAGTTTTGGCAATGATCCAGCCAGACTTGGCAGTAATATAAGTATGTTTAAGCATTTTTTATTAAGAATTATTTAGAATGTATTTCATTAGTACAAATAGACTTCTTGTGGTATTAATTATTGCAAGTCAGAAACTGCATTACAGTTTAATTAAAAAAATGAATGCAAAGCTGGCAAGCTGTGCACACTGTACAATTTCTAATATATTAGTTCAATAAAGGGAGTCCTTTTTTTTATCATAACAGATTTGTTACCACCAGTGTGACTTAGATTCCCAGTTGGTCTGGAGGGCTTTATAAAATGATTTTAAGGAGTAAATTTGTCCTCCACCCACGTGATGTAGCATGTAGCACGTGCTACTTTGAGTAACACATTAGGTATAAATAGAGCATGTGCTGCTGTAGGTATGGCATGTGATAAGATAGTTAAAGAATTAAAGGCAGCATAATTTGTGCACTTGGTGTTTGTACTCAGTGGCTTTATTTTAACCTGAATCACAATCAGGCAGGGGAGAAAATGTTTTTGTAGTTTAAATTGCATCAGCTCAGATAATAAATGTTTACACTCTGAATTGTAACGGATGTAAATTTACCATTTACCAAATTTACCTTTTTCTTCAGTTGTGTTCAGAATTTTATTTTCAAAGGTCATAAGAATCTCTTATTGTAAGAAGTTATCGGTAACTGTCATTTTAATCAACATCCAGGTACAATAGATTGTAGTAGCTTGTATAGATTTAGTACTTTCGACATCTCATGATGGTACTGAGCAGAAAGAGAATTTTGGGAAGACCACTGACAATATTGGTAGACATCTTGAGTCTTTTGAAATTAAGAGGAGGGTAGTAGGGTAGGATGGTTGAGGAAGAGTTTCATTAAATAGAGAAGGTTGAATCTTTTTGCATTGAGAGAGGAGGACTTTGTAGAAAGCTAACA